GAGCAAAAGGAAAATATACATACAAATGGAAACAGAAAGAAAATGACTTGTTACCTTTCAAGCTCGCCTTCACTGAAAACATGGTAGTATCTGTTATACACTACGGCACCCTTTTTATCATCTTTCTTTGCAAGGCCATTTGCAAGAGCACAAGCAGAAGCACCACTTACTTCAGCACGATGATATGGTAAGTGCCAGGGGATGAAATATTCTTGTTGATTATTTGCATTTTTTACATCAGTAGAAGCCCCTGAATAACTTTCAATTTGAGAGGTTATTTCCTGCAAACTCTGCATAGAACTCTGGCCGGAATCTTTCTTACGCTCTCCAAAACCATTCTCCTCTGTTTCTGGAATGCTTTCCAATGTGCAGGATGAAGGGCTACGAACACGTGGACTACCAGGTCCTATCCACTCTTCCCCATACTTTTGGGTAAGTGGAGTCCATCTGGCAAGTAGTGATTTATCTTCTTGTTCTACAGCCCAAACTGTTATTAGAACTAGGCCACCCTTTTTCACAACTCGGATCAACTCTTCGATTGCCTTTTTCCTTCTACCCTCTGTACTTAGATGATGTAATACAGCTATAGATATAGCCGCATCACCAAAACTAGTTCTATATGGCAGATCTACAGCGTCTGCAACCAACACTTCATGCCCTCTATCTGCACAAATTTTGATAAGAGGGGCACTTGTATCACATCCGATGTAAAAACAATCAGGATTAAATCCCAAGTACTTCCCATTCCCACATCCTGCATCCAGGACAAGAGATTCTGAAGGTAAGGAAGATAAAAAATTGGCTACTTTTGGCCACTTAGCAAACCGGGTTGAACTGAAATGGGGCGCGATAGCATCATAAACATGATGAACATACTTCTTTTCAATTTCAGGAGTGAATTGCACATTCAAGGATGAATTTCTCTGGCTGTCACTAGCTAATTCAGATTGTAGGATGTGAGATTCTCCATTGGAATCAAGAGTACACAAACTAGACACACCTTTTACCTTGACTTCTCTCATAGTAATGAAGATTCCTGAATAAGAAACACTACCAATTATTACAGTGGGAAGATGGAAGGCCTTACTAGACAGATAAAAGCTTCTACTTGCTCTTAGAACATTACAAAACATCACCTGGAACACTGTTCTAATCATAAATGACCTGAAAAAAAAAAAAACAACGGCTAAGGTCATAATTTGAAACACAAAATTTCAAGATCCTTATGTAGGCCAAAGAATCATAACAGTACATATGCATGTGTATCCCATGACAGAAATACAATGAACAGTAAAAAGGAGAATTTTTTTGGGGGAAAGCAGAAAAATTGTTTATAGGAGGCCCAAACTAGTACATTTTAGCTTTAATTCAAGCAACCGAACCAAATTAGCAGGGAAGAGGTTCAAAGATGTTTTGCTTTCCAGGAAACAAGGGCCTAATTACAGTCTATCAGGAAAGAACTCCTACCCCAGTTATTAAGGGGAAAAAACTATAACCAGTGTGTCCAGGAATTATATCGAACAGCTCGCTACGGCAGCTTCTCTATTTTGACAAATCATGGCCCCTAAGAAATACAATCTGGGCATCCCTAAATGCATAAAAATCCTAATGTCTATGCATTTTGTTGAATACAGTTTCAATCTTTTCCTTTCTTTATTTTCGTGCCACTACTGTTCATATTGATTGAAAAGTGAAATGTGTCTGATTGATGTTGTCCTACTTTCCTAAGCTTCTTGTTTTGGGAGGTGACTTTGATGAATTAGCAACTTCAATCACAAACCCAACTTTTCATTACCAAATTCAGTGTCTGCTGTTATCATATGAATTTAGGGTTTCAAAAATTATAGAGATTAACATAATCTTTTATTTATGTTTTGGTTAGGTCAATGGAGATTAACAGAGTTTTTCACAATACAAATATCCAGAACAAACATATATTACTGAAAGTCAGATTAACCACAACTTACGGACATAGATACATATATAAATACAGAGAGAGAGAGAGAGAGAGAGAGAGAGAGAGAGAGAGAGAGAGAGAGAGAGAGAGAGAGAGAGAGAGAGAGAGAGAGAGAGAGAGAGAGAGAGAGAGAGAGAGAGAGAGAGAGAGAGAGAGAGAGAGAGAGAGAGAGAGAGAGAGAGAGAGAGAGAGAGAGAGAGAGAGAGAGAGAGAGAGAGAGAGAGAGAGAGAGAGAGAGAGAGAGAGAGAGAGAGAGAGAGAGAGAGAGAGAAGTGAAGTTGACCTGATCCAGCACACATGACTGCAGTGAGGGTCAAAAGCTGCTTTTTTTAAAAGCGAGGAGCTGAAGAAGTTCGTTAACCAGCGGCTAATCCAATCCGAATGATATGGATTGCTTCCTTTTTGCTTGTCTTGTCTTGAGAGACTGCGTTGTGTTCAATTAGGGTTTTTCAGAGAGGGAGGGAGACGAAAGAAGAGAAAAACTTCCTGGCACGGGTATGCCAGGGTCAGCCATCCACATCAGTATCCCAACTCAATGAAATCACGCCACCTGTTAAGTTCTCTGACTTCCCATTTGATTTTTTTTATTAATAAAATTTATCATTTCTTCCTGACGTTCGAGTGTGAGGTTTAATCTTAAAGCGCAATTTAGGATAAGCTAATATTTTTTTTTATGCACACACATTTCTTCCTGAAGAAGGAGAAAGGGGTCTTCTTCTACACACTATTGGTGTCATGGAGGTTCAAACCCGTGACATGAAATATTGCAATAGGAAATGTAGACCAAAAAATCAAATATTGAAATAGAATGTTGGATTCTATCGCTCCCATCCCAAAAATTGAGTTTAGCATATTCAATTGAATGAACACAATCACAATCAAAACAATACAATTTATCCTAACTTAATTATGATGACTCCCTAAACCCAAAATCTAGGCCTCATTATTTGGCCTGCGGGCTCATGGGCCGATGGGGGCCCTAAATTTGAAGAGAGAGAAAGGACTTTTAGTGACTCCCTATAATTTAATGAGTATTTCAAACCTTTAATTAATGCTAACTATTTTTTATATTATTTTTTAATAGATATGAACCAATTAAAAATGAGTTATAGCATTTATGACTCCCTAAACTAGAGAGTACGATTGGAGTTTAAATTTTATAGAGAGAACCTAAAATAACTTTTATATGTTTTTAATTAAAATTTAACCAAAAAATAGAGAGCATAATTGTGGATGCTCTTAGGAATCCTTCTTATTGCGTGTAAAGAGCTATTTAATGCCACACCAATGATTGTGGCCAGACAAGCAATAAATCAAAATAATATTTGATGCTCTGTCTTTTGCATGTGGCACAGAACAATAGCTGACCACTACAGTCGCAGTCAACTACCTCTGATAAAAGCTTGTATAATTCAAAAGCAATTCCTCACAATCAAAGAGCAGTTTTCCAATGGCACACTGGAAACAAGTTGAATGGATTTTGTCCATCACCAGCCGCACATTTGCTGTTCCAGGCTGCAGAGCTTATGGTTTACATCAAGTTTTTCCATGCCCCGCAAGGTTCTGTTGTTTGGCTTTTCATAGTTTTTTCTTCAGGACAATGCACCAGTTGGATTTGTCAAAAAATCTATCAACAATTACAGCATTATCAATACCAGCTACCAACCTGCATTTTAAGACAGCAATAAGTAAATGAGCTGAAAAAGTAGGACATCACTTAAATGTTAGATTGTCAGAACATTAAAAACTGACCCTATAAATTTAATAGGGAAATAGCCTTCTATGCCATCCATTTCATAATTTTAACTAAAAATACCACCCATTTCCAATTTTTTTACAACTATCACCTATAAATATAAAATTATTGTCCACTTATTGCTGATTTTTCCCAAGTTCAGAAATTAGCTTCTCTCTCAACTCTCTTTGCTCTATCTCTTCGGCCCGTCTCTCTCCCTCGTGTACCTCTCTCTCTCCGACGCAATTGTCTTTCTCCCTCAGCAGTGGCTATTCATCCTCTCCACTGTTGACATCCACGAGGTACTCTTCATATACATTTTCTTTGAAATTTGGCGTTTTTGTGAATTTGGTTTATGGTGTATGGATTTGTAAGAAATTTGTTTAGGGTTTTAGTGTTTAGGGGTTACTCAGAAATTGGGCTCTGTGATTTCTACAAGAATTAATTCCCAAACGTTTAGGCTCTGTAAGAAATTGGTTTAGGGTTTGAGCTTAAAATCACAGGGTTTTAGTGTTTAGGGGTTACTTAGAAATTGGATTTGTAAGAAATTGGTTTAGGGTTTTATTGTTTGATGAGATTTGATAAGGTGGAAAAGCAACTACGAGTAATAACCAGGCTTAGCTTTCAGGGAAAGCAACTACGAGTTTGATTTATAAAAAGGACGTGACGTCCTTAATGGAATCACATTCTTACAATAATAAATAATCAATAAAAAAAGCAATAATGGAATCACATTCTTACACCAATAGCTGAACGCGAATCAATCATATTGAAGAGATACATATACGGTGCTTGTTATACCTTATTTATATGATAATGAATAATGATCTAACATTTTCCTTTACAAAATAAACTAATACAATCAAGCGTTTTCTTTTACAAAATATCCTTATAAGTTCTTTCACAAGATAGACTTGAAAAAACAGGTGATAAGAAACAAATATAAGTGCAATAACCAGGCAATACCACAACACTACAATGGCAATACGATGACAATACAAATGCAATAGGGGAGCAATACAAAGGCAATACAAAAACTCCACATTCCCACTATAATTTCATTCCACATTCCCACTATATATTCATAATCTACAACATATTACAAAAAGGACACAACGTCCTTAATGGAATCACATTTTACACTCCTACATCGTCAAAATACCCTCGAGCAAGGAATGGGCGGAGAGGCTTCTGTAAAAGTTGAGGATGCAAAAGATGTTCTTGACTTGAAGTTGGATTAGTTGCTAGCCAAAGGCTTCTTAGGAATTATTTTCCTTTCGCAACTCTCCAAGAGCTAATCCAGCCTAAGGGAAAAAACAAAGTCAGAGATACATAGGAAAAAGTAAAAGTCAGATAATATAGAGGTCAGAAAATGTTAAAGTTTTCTTTTATAAATCCTTTTATTTTGCATGATTTTGGTATAAATTTATAATACAAAATAATTATAAAAAAAATGAAACACCTAGGCGCCCGCCTAGGCCCCAATTCCCTGCATGCCGCCCACCTACTGCCTAGCGATTCTTAGAACATTTGAAATCCTTGACTGAAATTCTTGTTGTAAAATATGTAAACCAAACATGTTGATTTCAAATTTATAAATTTGAAATGCACATATTTATAATCAATAGATATCAAATTCAAATCTTAGTATCGAAACGGGCCCTAAACTTCCATCTTTTATTTTTATGCGAAGCATGAAGCAGATAGATAATGCCACACAACACGGACATGCCCAAACTTTCGAAGAATGGCTATGCTCTATAAAACAAACTGTTCAATGATTTACACCTACATAAGAATACAAGACAACCTGCTCAGATGAAAGCCAGAGTGAAACCTGTTCAAACAAACCCGGAGTGAACTTTATTCAACCTCAAGCACACCAAGAACAAAGAGATCAAATCAGAAACCTTTATGACATAGATGTGACTCGGACAGAGTTATCAGCTGATCCTGTTACGAATAGAGGCAAAGTTGGGTGCCAATCGACAGTAGTTATTGCTGCACTGTGTGGGAGAGTTCTCAACCCAATAGCATGATCCCGAACCTGAGCCAAATTTATGAAACAAAACTTTGTGTTAAAACAGAAGCATCACCTACATCTTACAAAGCATGGCAATCAGGGAAATCCAAGACCACCAAAATGTTCAGTTTGGTTTCCAAGTCAATAATCCAAGTGCGACCCATCTTTGGATGGCTATATTCAATATGCTTAGCAAGTTGACTCTAATTGAGTAGCACTGTACAATGTACATGACGAAGACACACAACACACACATATGAAGAAGAGAGAACAACCTGATATATGGGTGCTCTTACTGAACCAGAGGTTACCAACAGTCTCCTCCCATTAGCATCTAAAGCCATTTCATGTATGAAATTTTTTGAGCTCTCAGAGTCAAAGAATCTATAGTATGGAAGAGAGTAATGTTAGTTAATCAGGTGTATGCCCAAGTATTTTTGTTTGATAAGACTACTGTGCAACCAATTTCTATATGCCAAAGAAGCTACCTGCTAGAGTTTCTTGACCAAAGGATTTGACCTTGGTTTTGCAAGCTCCATTCAAGAACCTGACACCACAAAACCAGTTCTTTTAAGTAAATACTTTTAAGACTTCAAATAAATTTTCATAAGAAAATTGAATCAACTGACCAGATGATCGAATTCTGAAAAGAGCTTGAGAGAATGATTTGTCTTCTGAAGAAACAAGCTAATGAGCGATGGAGAGTGATGGCAGTGGTGACTGAGGCGTTCTCGGTCTCAAATGTGGACTGTGGACCATTGACAATCTGCAAAATTTGATTATAAGCATGTAGATTCCAGAAATCGTTTTTGACAATTACCCATCCATAAACAACGTCCCTTCCTTTGCTTTGATTTGAACAAGTAAAATCAGAATATTGTGGAATTAATTCTTGTAAAAATCACAGAGCCTAGAGCTTCAAATCTCATCAAACAATAAAACCCTAAACCAATTTCTTACAAATCCAATTTCTGAGTAACGCCTAAACACTAAAACCCTGTGATTTTAAGCTCAAACCCTAAACCAATTTCTTACAGAGCCCAAACGTTTGGGAATTAATTCTTGTAGAAATCACAGAGCCCAATTTCTGAGTAACCCCTAAACACTAAAACCCTAAACCAATTTCTTACAAATCCATACATCATAAACCAAATTCACAAAAACCCCAAATTTCAAAGAAAATGTATATGAAGAGTACCTCGTGGATGTCAACGGTGGAGAGGATGAACAGCCACTGCTGAGGGAGAAAGACAATTGCGTTGGAGAGAGAGAGGTACACGAGGGAGAGAGACGGGCCGAAGAGATAGAGCGAAGAGAGTTGAGAGAGAAGCTAATTTCTGAACTTGGGAAAAATCAGTAATAAGTGGACAATAATTTTATATTTATAGTTGATAGTTGTAAAAAAATTGGGAAGGGGTGGTATTTTTAGTTAAAATTATGAAATGGGTGGCATAGAAGGCTATTTCCCAATTTAATATCCCTCCAGTTAGGTTTTTGCTTAGTTTTTAGGTATGCTCTTCCATCTTTCCTCTTCCTCACCTCTTTTGCCTATCTTCTTTCTCTCTCTCATTTATCTTCTTCCTCTCTACTTTGTCCCTTTTCTCTCCTCTCCTTAATTAAAAAAATAGCAGGAAAAAAAAAACAAAAAGCTACTTAGTTAAGAATACTTTTAGTCAGTACAAAATCTCCAGAATACCCTCCCACCGATTCCAACCTTCTCGTCCGACCAAAAACCCATCCAATGCTTTCTTTTCTTTTTCTTTTCTTTTTTTGAACGAAAAGTGATTTCTCTTCTTTTGCTGGGATATTTCTCGCTCAACTTGCTTCCATTCCATTTTCTTCATAACCCATCACTGAAGCAGCAATTGCTTATGTACCATTTTCTTCTCTCTTTTTTTTCGAATGCCCCTGTTGAAATCAGATATTCAACCAAAAATTAGAAAATTAATAACATATCATGGTTTCTATTTCATATAACAAGACAATAAACAGAGGATTACAGAGGAGGCATGAAACTTCCATCTTTATTAAAGGTTAATCATATCCCAAACCCCAAATCAATAACATAACCACACAATCACAATAATAAGTTGTGAGAAATTGTTGAGTCCAAGGGTGATAACGTCGAGTAATAATCTACGTGTTATAATATAAGCGAATAGCATAGTTGATTTTTTATTAAACTATAGAATATACCCCATGAGCAAATTGGTAACACCTCCTTATTTCGTTAATTCTATCAAAATTGCTGCCATCTTTACTTCAACAACTTTCCTTTTCGTGCTTATGTGAGTGTCCCAAATTCCAATAATTCATGAATGGCTGACCTTTCTAAGAAATTTGATAGCAATTCACAGAGGCCTCAAATTTCTTGCAGCATATTCTTGGTAAATGAAACCTATCTACACAGCTGGAGACATTGTGTTTACTTTTCTGCATTTCCTTGATTACAAGTACAAATTAATTTAAAAGTTCAGAAATTTTCATGGGTCTACTTAAAATTCAATTTACATGCATGTATAGTTGAAATTCTTGGGTTCTTTGAGGGTCCAACTTTAATTGTATGGGTTTGTTTTTGGTCTATGGTGCTGTAGGTGTCAAAGGAAAGTCCCTCCACTATCTGCTGATGCTGATTGAGCCTTCTGGGTTTGGTGAAGATGAGAACTTTCCAAGTCCAGATGGTGTGGAATTCCACACCAGAAGATTCAAATTTCTCTCAACTTTACCTGCATTGCAGGACTACTTGGTATAAAATTTACTCCTCGAGTCAAGGTACTGTTTTCTTGTAAAACTTACCTAAAGACTATGAAGAGGCTCCACATATTAATTAAGATGCTTCTCAAGTGTGTACGTTTCATTTACTTCTAGAGGTCATGCTAAATGCTTTAGTCTGAGCAAGTACTAGTCATTTATCATTATTGTCGAAAATAATGTTCAAGCCAAATGTTCCACGACTCCTCCAAAATACTGAAAGTTTCTGTAGCAGCCAAGTCAGTCCCCACCACATCGTACGTACAAAATTTTTAGTGTCACGTAAATGGCTTCTGGTTGTGATTTATATCAAGGTACAAGCTAGATTCCAACTAACATGCGGCCCCATGACTTTTCTTTGTGTTTGGAGCTTTTTGTAGACATTACATTGTAATTCCATACCAATCGATTTGGAAAAAAATGGTACGTTCAGGGAAACTTATGTACAAGTTCATTGTATTGAGACATCCAAAGACATCATTGTCCAAGAAGCTGTATCGAAAATAATGCGAACAATCATGATCCTGATGGCTGTCACGAGTAGCTTCATTTTACGTTTGTTTGCATATGGGAACTAGCTAAGAAATGGTTAGAGGTGCAGAAGGCTTTTTAAGGGCTATGAGGCTTTTTTAGTGTCACTTCGAGCTCGACTATATATATTGTTGTTATTGCAGTTCGTAGTATCATACTGGAATATACCACTATTCCTCTGTGTTGATATTCATATCGCTACAACAAATGATGCATTATCTTCAACTGTCATCACGTATTTGCATGCCTTCTTGCATTTCATCACAACCTAAAACAATCTGGACCAGGTTATACATTGTTAATAGATGCATAAATTGTTCACTGATGTTTTCTTTTGTTTCTTTTGGGCCATGTCTTATGTAACGAACTCATTTAGTTGCATTATTGTTTCATGGATTATTTACAGTTCAACGTCTGGAAATGAGATGAGAGTTGGTAAGTTATTACAATCTCAAAACTTTACTCGTCATTTCTGCAGCTTGGAAAATGTTGGTGTACTAATATGTTCATGTTATCGACATCGTTATGCGAAATTGTTTTCATGTGTCACAAATGACTAAGCAACTAATAAGCAATGCAATGCAATCACAGGTCATTGCACAAAAGTCTCACGCAGTGTCAATATGGAGAACCTGCAAAATGAATATCTGTTTCCGGAGGTCAGCAGCTTCTGATATCTTGATCATGAACTTTGGCCCTCCTATCACTTTATATCATGTAGTTTGTCTCAAACTAATTGTCTGGATTGGTGTTCCACAAACCCCAATTGTTTTAAGATTTCTTGTTTTGGAATGGGAATTTACAGCATCCTCATGAGTAGGATCAAACCTTATTCCACCTGGTTGGAACTTGGAACTCTTGTTACTTGTGATAACAAAATTATCTTTTGGTTGTGTGACATAACCATTTGAGTGCTAATTTTTCTACATACCTTGTGGCCGCTTATCCAGATATTCATGCGCGAGTTTGTGCATACTCAGAAGTACCCACATGCAAGATTAATAAGACTTGGTGTTGGTAATACTACAGAACCTATACCAGACATAATCACATCTTCTATGGCTGAGGTAATTTTGTGGATCTCAGATTGTTGTATGTAATTTTTCATCTGAGTAAAGTTTGAATCTAAAACCTTTTCAAACAGCACCATGCCTTACCACTTGAGCGAATGCCTGACAACACAATTACAAATGATAGTATGCTGGTCCTGTTTGATATTACTTTCCAGTTGAACTGTTCTTTTATTTTTATCATTAGTTTCCATTTCCACTATAATCCAATATTTGGGAAAGTAGTGACGACTGCATGTCTTCATCGTATACGTCTTCTCTTTATAACCTACTTGTAGATGTAGAGATATAAAACTCTTTGGTATATGCAAGCCTCTTTGGCAGTGGATCTTCACTAGCTTTTCTTCACCCATTAGTACTGTTTCGTTTCATTTCTTTTACTTTTTTGCTTTCTGTTTATTGCTTTGTTGGAGTTGAAAGAAGCAGAGAAAGAACAAAAACTTGTCATTTTCTTTTCTTGATGGCTAAGTTGTACTGATCTATTTTTTTTCATTTGATTTCTTGTCAACGACGAATATTAAGCTCTTGTGTTTCTGTGTCTACTTTGCAGCATGCACATGCTCTATCAACAGTTCAAGGTTACAGAGGGTATGGAGCTGAGCAAGGCCACATGGTACGATGGAATCTTTGCCTTACAACTCCCGGAGTTTGAGTAAAATTTCATGTTGGTCATGATGTTTCTGCAATTGCCATGCTTCTCCAAGATTATTATTAAGTATGTCCATCTACCTATTTTTATTTAACAGAGGTTATCAAATTTTGGTGCAGGAATTAAGAAGGGCAATTGCAGAAAAATTCTACAACAATATGGGCATAGAAGGCGATGAGGTTTTTGTATCAGATGGTGCACAGTGCGACATTTCTCGCCTTCAGGTACGAAAACTTCGTTTATGCAGTAAAGCTTTTCATAATTGGATAAGAGTGGAACAATATAAAGATCTGTTACTATTTAGGTTGCTTTTAAGATGAAAAGCGTGTTATTAATTCTGACTTTTCCCCCAAGCAGATGCTTCTGGGATCCAATGTGACAGTAGCTGTGCAAGACCCTTCGTTTCCGGTAAATATAAATAAAATCAAATATGTCTTTCTTTAATTCTAAATTAGGATGAGACATGAGGAAAATAATCAGTGTCATCTCACTCTCAATATTAATTTTCCTTTTTCCATTGCAACTATGGTAGACTGGCTCTTGTGCCTACAGAAACAAGGTTATAGCTGATGTTTATAAACGTCTTGGAATACTAAATTAAAGCTACATGGAGGCCACACATCCATTATTTTCCCATTGAATTTTTTTGCTTGGAACCTTATTGATTTACTATGGTTTGGGACAGGCATATATAGATTCTACTGTCATTGCCGGTCGAGCTGGCAGGTTTCAAGAGGAAACTGGGAAGTATAAGAACATTGTGTACCTGAACTGCAGGCCTGAGAATAATTTTTTTCCTGATCTATCAACTGCTTCAAGGGCGGATATCATATTTTTCTGCTCTCCAAACAATCCAACTGGCAATGCTGCATCACAGCAGCAACTAAAGCAACTGGTGGAGTTTGCAAAAGCAAACGGATCAATAATTGTTTATGACTCCTCCTATGCTGCTTATATATCTGATGACAGCCCGAGATCGATTTATGAAATTCCTGGGGCCAGAGAGGTTTCTCACCAGTTCTCCTCACCACCATATGTCATTTTGTGTTTAACAATACAAAACCTTCTTGTTAAACTTGACATACAAAGGGATTCTCACTGGGAGTGGTTTTGGCCAATTTTGTGTGCAGGTTGCAATTGAAGTTTCATCCTTCTCCAAATTTGCTGGGTTCACAGGGGTCCGCCTCGGATGGACGGTTGTCCCTGATGAGTTGTTGTATGCAAATGGATTTCCTGTCATAAAGGACTATAACCGCATAGTGTGCACCTGCTTCAATGGTGCATCAAATATTGCCCAGGCTGGAGGGCTAGCATGCCTTTCTGCAGAAGGTTACCAGGTTATAGTTTACACCCCATTTCTTTTCCAAGCATCCATTAATTCTCTAGTAAGTTAAAATCCAATGCAGTTTCAAATTTTAACTGTTTGTGAGTTGTGCTTTTTACATTTTCAGGCCATAACCACAGTGGTTGACTACTACAAGGAAAATGCAAAAATAATTGTGGACACATTCAGATCACTTGGGTTGAAGGTGTATGGTGGCAAAAATGCACCTTATATATGGGTACATTTTCCAGGGTTGAGT